CTATAAATTCGATTTAAAAAATTCAATTGTTTTTTATTCCAAACAATTAGATTGCAAAATTTTTTTTCTTAGAACTTGAATTGAAAATTTGAAATTCAAAATCCCTTCTCATTTTAGTTGCCATAAAATTCAAAATCTCTTCCTAATATAAAGGGTTTTATCCAAATTGAATTTCAAAAATATCTAATCAAATACTTCTATCCATATCCTTAAATGAAGGATTTCGTGCCACTTTAAAATTAACTTGTCTCTTGGAAATTACAAAATTATAATGAATTTCTATTTTTTTTTTCAATCTGCACGGAATTCAAAATGGTTTAAGAATTTCAAATCAATTGAAATTCATATCTATAATTTTTTTCCCATAAGTTCCAAAATTTTACAGTAATTAAGTCAAATTGCAAATGCATTGTTTCAAAAATTAAGAGGATAATTCTGAAAATATACAGATTTTTTTTTTTTTTCTTAAAATTGTCTTAGTCTCCATTCAATATAAAATAAATCTCATTTTATTTGTAAAATTGATAGATCTACATAAAGCGTGGAATTTTATGCCTACAAAAATTCTTTTTACAGTAACTAAATAATAATAATAATTTTAAAAAATTTTTGTACTCAAATTACTTAAAATAATAATAATAATAATTTTTACAGTAACTAAAAAATAATAATAGTTTTGAAACTTATGTACTCAAATTACTTAAAAGAATAATAATAATAATTTTGAATTTTTTTGTACTCAAATTACTCAAAATAATAATAATAATAATTTTGAAATCTTCTATACTCAAATTTTCAGGTACGGTAGTATCGTCATAATTTTCAGCATCATGTCAATATTTATTTTAAATATACTAGGTAAAATTTCTTTCAAAAACTATATAATGTATTTATTTAGGCTATAATATTTTATCATGTCATATAAAAAAAATCTTTCATACAAATGTAAACTTTAATGTTTTTAGATATGCTTTCTTTACAAAATAGTTTAGAAAAGTTGTAGGTGACTTCACATCTTTTAATAACAATATAAAAAATTTTAGATAATTTTACATATGTTAATATAATATTTTAGGAGTTTTTAAATATACAAATTTTATGTTCTTTTGAACAAGCTAATTTTATATCGTTTATAATAAGCTGATATACCGTAAATTATGACATGTTAACCTCACATTGTTAATTTATAATTATTATTTAATATCGTTTACCCTCATCTTTAATTTATAATATTTTCTTGCTCATTTAAGGGAGGATCAATAGTGGTTCCCCACTTCTTTCATTGGGTGACTCGAACTCGATACCCATTTATATATATTATTTAATATGTTTACCCGTGCATCACACGCGACACACAATAGTTAAATTTCACATTTCACTCATTACTTTTCATTATTTTCTAATAAATCGCATAAAATCCTCCCTATATATTATTCTCGAATGCGCTGAGCCTACATGACTGTTTCTGGTGCTTCGGAATCCTACTTGGCAAAGAATCATGCTTCGTAATTAGGTTTTGACAAATAATATTGATATATTAATAATTAATAATCTAGGTTCGGACATTCCATAAATATTAAATAGCTAACTTAGGTATCTCTGTCTTTTAATTTGTTTCCTTCAATTAGTTATTTAATTGTAAATGTATTTTAAAAGTTGTTAATTTTTGTATTTTTATCGGTTTTACATATATAATATATCAAATTGATCATCTTTTGATGATCTTCGATTTGACATCCATATTGTATATATGATTTAAATAAATTATTTTTATCTTTATAATAATAAAAATAATAATATTTATTAGAATTCATTAGAAAAATAAAATTATTTCTCAATTGATATATTTATGTTTAATGTAGTTATATGTTGTAAGTTAAAAATTATTATAATATAACACAAGTAAGTCGCACAAATAAAAAAATGTCATACTAAATATATAATAATATATATATATATATATTTATAAAAGGTATTTAAATTTTCAATTACTTTTTCTCATTAATTTTAGATTTTAAGAAAAAATTAGCAAACACCCGTGTAATACACGGGCATTGTACTAGTTATCAATATAATTAAATAATATCAACCAATTATTCTTACACATCACATCAACTTTAATTCACTATTCATCAACTCACATAATTCTAACTAACTATCACTTCCAATCATTTTTTCCTACTTTACATCAAATCAACTTTAATTGTTTTATTTAAATATTATTTTAATATATCCACTAACAACTAACAATACCATATTTTTTTTCAAAATTAACTATAGTTAAAA